TAATCTATCCCCTCTGTTTCCCTCTCTGTCTGTGACTCTCTCTATCATTCTAGTCTAATAATGTCCCTCTAATCAGTTCCTGTGAGCAGTAGGGATGCATCGAAAGTTTGGCTGCCACAAATGCCATAAAACCACATTTTCGGTTTTCGTTCAAACGAGAAAATATGTCAAAAATCTGGAAAAACGGAAACTTTAACAGGTTGGATAACAAGAACTTTGACATGGAGAAAAATCAGTGTGCACGTGATATATCTGTACTTCAAAGTCAGTATGATTTGCACAGGAATGACATGTAGTTTTCTATACAGTTGTCCATTTATGTAAACTATATTTAAAAACACGTTTAAGCTTGTATTTTCATGAGAATTGAATAATTCATTCAACCTGTTAGCAGCAGAATAAGTTGAATTTATCCGTCTTCAGTTCTCTGTTATGTCATACTGTCATTACTAGAGGGCGGAATAATAGTGTAAATGTGTCCAGATTAGGGGTGCGCCGATCCGATATTCAGTATCGGTATCGCTCCGATATTGCCATTTTCTGCTGGACAGACGAGACTGATCCAAATCCGATATTTGCGTATAATATTCTGTGTTATTGTTAAGCCCCACGAAAAAACATTATAAAGCACAATAGAGTTTTTGTGTACTATATTTCAAATGTTCTGAAGCCGTTACATAGTTTAATGTGAGGTACAGATGATTATTTAACAAGTCAAGTTCACGTAAAATCTTCTCTCCGCTGCGGCTGTCTGTCATCCTCCATTCAGCATTCAAACTGCTCATCACGTTCGGTTACCACAGTCAAAATGATAAAACTCTCTCCAAGATTATTAAATGTTCATGTTCCTAATATTATACTTGATCTGTAGATGAAGATAAATGATTCTGCATAAAAGGACTTTATCTTGCTGGAGTTTCGTGCTGTTTCTAAATCATGTTAATTTCTACCTGGTATCTGTTAGATCGCAACACTGAAGTAGAGAGCACTATGAATTGTTCTTCACGAGCACAGTAACTGAAATTTAAATCTGTTAAAAGAAAAGGCTCAAACTAACGCAGCTTTAATACACTGCACATTATTATCGCTTCACTTTGTGCTTTGAACTTCTTCATGCGAAGCGCTGTGATTCCGTGTTGCTTCTCGATTCGATTCGATTCTCGATTTTTTTATTACATTCAGTGAATATAGTTTTAATACAAATGCTATTGATATTACTAAAAAATGAACAGTAAACATCAGTTTACAAATGGTGACTTAATAAAAAGAAATTAAGCCACATGCCTGTATTTTAAACCTATGACTAATGATAAGATTCACGTTAATCAGATCTTGTTTTAAATGTGTGCTGAAATAAATCCCGGAAAATATCGATTCGCGGCTTTTGAGAATCGATATCGAAACGACGTCATTTAAAAAAACGATTAATCGAAAAATAATTTTTTTTGCCCAGCCCTATTTAATACACTACGCATTATTATCTCTTCCCTTTGTGCTTTGTGCTTTGAACTTCTTCATGCGGAGCGCTGTGCCTGCGTGCTATGATTCCGTGTTGCTTCAAGCGCATCATACTGCGCTCGGGATGCGCATAAGCGCTTTGTGCCGGTCTGTATTGGAGCCTTTCCTATTATAATACTTTAGCGCAATGAAAGATTATTAATAGCCTTTCTTGTTCGTCTTATCTATCATATGTTGCTGCAACATTACTGTGCTATACATTTAAAAGAAATGTCTTTTAATTTATATTTATATATAAATATATTACTTGTTTTTCATGAATGTATTTTACAATACAAAGTGCAATGTTTAACATTTTACCAGATTTAGTCCTACACTTATTTTATTTGTTCCCCACTAAATAATGTTTTGTTTTTCACTAAAAGTTTAGATTTTTATAAAATTTGATTTGATAAAACTCATAATTTTTCTTATTATATATTTTTTTCGTTTGTTATTTTTCTTTATAATGAAGTTGTCTATATTTATTAGATTGTGTGTAACACACAAAAGAGTGACGATCAGGTCAACACACATTGAGGTATAGAGATTCTACACTGATTTAAAAAAAACTGCACTGGTAGCGGATCGATATCGGTATCAGCAGATACTCTGAATTTTTGGTATCGGATCGGGATCGGTTCTGAAAAAGTGATATCGAGCCATCCCTAGTCCAGATGCAAATATTTTACACCCTAATATAATTTTAATTTATAATGAATATAACATACAGTGGTGTGAAAAAGTGTTGGCCCCCTTCCTGATTTCTTATTTTTTTGCATGTTTGTCACACTTTAATGTTTCAGATCATCAAACAAATT